CCGGACCCATAGAACTGGTCGTAAACTTCTTCACTCCTATCGATCCGACAGATCTCAAGCGTCTGTCACTTCCGGCCTCTTATATATCAATGAGCGCCCGATCTGTGGATCAGAAGACACATGAAGTTCAGGTATATCTCGATATGACTGGAGAATGGGTTACCAGTGATGACCATGTTGTTGAATGGGATGTATGCGAAGTGAAGGGCAAATCAAATCTAATTAATGGTAACATTAAACTCAAAAATGAAAATATATTTTATAAAAATAAAGGTAAATATTAAATACTATTAAAAATTTGTTTAATCATTGATTTTATATTGTATTCATCAGAATTACCCGAATGGGGAACCATTAAGTTCTTCACCGACTCGACCGCCACTTATGAGGTATTCATACATATTATACAAAATTTATGAGTATTTTAAACAACTTATAATTATATTTTTAGGCAAATGGTTGTGATACTGTAATGCGCCCAAAGTTTATCAAAACTGGTAAACTTGACAATACTGTACACAGAAATTATCGTAAAGCGTCAGACAATTGGCCGGGCATTGGGTTCGCGCGGACACTAACCGCCGGCGCCATTCATACGGCGGCAAACACTGTGTATTACGGCGTCGCTCACGTCAGACGACCGGCCATTGAGTACACGGACTCACATCTGAACCAATTATGGGAAAGTTATTTCAATGGAGACGACAAACAGATGATTGACTTCTTCTATGAGGACAGAAAAGACGCCCTCCGGAGGGCCACAGCTTTGGACACACGTATTGTGACCGACGCTCAGGCGGTCGGCGGCGAGAGTTATGTTAAAGTAGTGTCGGCAGCGCTCAGACAGGTATAAATACGGTATATTACGGGGTTTTAAATAATTTATATTATTAGTGGTAAAACGTAAAAATTTAAAACCAGACAACATTGACTAAGTTTCTACTTAAATATGATAATACTTTATAACTTTTTTTATATAATTCATAAATAAAAAGTTTAAAATGCTTAGGCGTACGGAATGGTAGAAATGGTTGGTACAGTTGACAAGCCGTGGATGATGTTGAACCATGGTAAGTGTCAGACCGTGGATGGTATTTACCCCCACTTTTCTGTTCAGCTATATCTAAATCCAACGCTTTTGCGATACCTTTTGGAGCCATTGCTTGACTATCAAGAGAGGGGTTTATTTCCAAAGAAGTATTGTTTGCATGATTTGGGAACATATCCCAAATGCAATGGACAGGTGGGACACGATATTGATATGGAGGTGGAGGAGAGCGCCAATATGTTGATCATGATGTCAGCCTATGTCAGGGCAACCAATGACACAAAGTTTGCCAAAACGCATTACAAGATTGGCAAACAGTGGACACAGTATTTGATCGATCACGGGTTGATCACAGGTAGTTATTTGATAATATGTTAAATAATAATCTATTACATTGTATTAATTAAAAATTAATAAAAAAATTAATAATAATTTAGGAAACGCTTTGACAACCGACGCCTATTTGGGCAGAATTACAAATTCAACAAACCTTTCGGTCAAAGCTATTGTAGGCATCGGAGCGATGGCACAGTTGGCTGAAGTGACCGGTAATGAGGCGGACAAACAACAGTACAGACAAATCGCAGAGAACTATATCACAGAATGGATTGGTTTAAGTAAAGATCCGTCCAATAAATACTTAAAAATGAGTTATAATACACCCAACAAGTGGTTTATGATCTATAACTTGTTTACTGATGTTCTGTTGAACACCAAATTAGTACCCGAATCGGTTTGTTGAAAACTGATCATGTTTAAACTACTTGCTTGACATGTATATCATATGCATTCAGATCTACGAACAACAGGACGAGTGGTACCAACAGGTGATGGACTTCTATGGCCTGCCATTAAAGAGTGATAGTCAGGAAACACTGATTGAGTGGATTATGTTAACGGCGGCCGCGTCTGCGAACTCGACGTTACGGCAATCATTGTTCGATCGGACGGCCAAATGGTTGCGCGAAACGCCGACTCGAGTGCCGTTTCCCGACCACATAAACACCGTAACGGGCGTGGGTTCGCCCGGTTGGATGAATCGTGTAGTTATCGGCGGTTTATTTGCTCCGTTACTAACTGTTAGACACTAAACATATTATAAAACTAAATATAAGATTGCTTTTTATATAGTGGGCAACGATGGAAGTTTAATGCCAATAATAATAACCCATATTAAATTAGATCATGTCATAACATGCATGTACTGTACGATCAATATAACATCATGTATTTGTAATTAATTAAATGATACAAAGCCATACCATAGCTCAAACAACCTTGGGTTAATCATGTCCACATTTATTATATGGACATAATATTTAAATAATATTAAAATAATTTCTAAAATTTTAAAATTAATGTATTTTTAACTACAATTCATTCATTTAATTTTGTAACTATTAATAATAACCATTTTCATTGATATTCATAACACGTTGTTTTTTCATTCAACCTTGATTATTGAGAGAGAGAGAGTGAGATTGAGAGAGAGAGAGAGAGAGAGTGAGATTGAGAGAGAGGGAGAGAGAGAGAGAGAGAGAG